GCGCCGCCCCCCTAGGTCCCGGCCCCCCCCCTGGCTGGGCTCAGGCCACCGCCGCCGCAGCCACTGCCCCTTCTCCACGACCTACGAACAGCCCCGCCCCCACGCCGGTTCCCTGAGCAGCGGCCGCCAGTGTAGCTCCGCCCCTGCCATAACCTCAGCCCTTGGCGGGAGCCACTGAACTACCGCCACAGGCATAGCTCTGCTCACGACATTGCTCAGTTGGTAAGCCCATGCTCCTCAGAGCAGAGCGGGAGGTCTGAGCCTATTTAAGTTGGTGCACCCCAGGGATTGCTTTTGTGGAATGCCCTAGAGGGGCGTGCAGAGCAGAAAGTTTGGACCGGTATGCTAATTCTGTACAGAAGGCCCACTTGGAATTCTCCGCCAGTTCACACCATATCCCACTGCCTCCACAGAAAATTCTGCCAGCCAACCCATTGTACCTTTCTTTAATTCGCATTTCTCTGATGCCAATGCACTACGGAGTTCCACCAAACCCACACACACTTTTTTATTTTCCTTTCTGGTATATTTGCTTGTCATGTGTATTTATTCGTGAATTGCCCAATTCTCTTACCTTTTAACCCGTAGTGATTTCTAAGCCCTTCTCTTAGTCCATCTTTGCCCTGGATACTGCAGAAGGTCTTTTCAGGATTTCATTTGTCCTTGTTCATGGCCTTTTTCTTGCTGGTGGGATTAAAAGCCCTATCGTGCTTTCATCAAATCTTTATTCTAAATCAAATCAAACCCAAACTATATCATGTTTTCAAGACTATTGAAATGTTCATGCTTCATTAGAGTCATGACTTTTAAAAATCTGTTTGCAAGAAGTGGATTCACAACTCCCAATTTTTATGAGAGCTAGCTTGAGTGTTAAGGCCCTCTCGAAATGCATGTTCACCGCACACGTAAACATCCTTATGGCATCGTTTAACTGTTTAAGGAACCCATCTGATTCGTATTCACTGATTGAGCAATTGTCATACCTTCATGGTCAAGGAAAAAAAAAGCGAGTTTATTGTGTGGCATCATGATTTTATTGAGAACATTACCATGCATGTTTATGAATGCATAAAAAATACCAGGGCAGATATGTCAAATTACTCAACATTGTTTACTTCTTACTTACTAAGGCAGTAGAAAGGACAATTTAACACTTTTTACTCATTATTATTTTTTTATTTTTATTTTTTTTAGGTGAGGCAACCCTTGGTTAATTTCACAGATTGCAAGGACCTTGTCATCTTACAATCCCTTATTTTTTTTATGCCTACAGCACCTTGTCTTCCTAGGTGGTCTCCCATCCAAGTACTAACCAGGCCCCACCCTGCTTAGCTTCTGAGATCAGATGGGATTGGGCTTGTTCCGGGTGGCATAGCCGTAGACTTACTCATTATTTTTATGTGTGCGTGTCCATATGTATATAAGTATTACATGTGTGATACAATGAGAAAGTGGCCACAGAAATATAGACATAAGCTACATCAAAACCCTTTGTTCCAGACTGGATCTAGCCTCATTCATTTGCTGAGCCTATTTCCTCCAATCATTTCTGAAACCTCTCCTGGCCTCGTCTCATTTATTTTTAACATTTTGTTTAGAAATAATTATAGACTCACAGGAAGTTACAAAAATAGTACAAAAAAGACCTTGTGTCTTTCACCCAGCTTCCCCAATGGTGGTATTTTCTATGGATGCAGTATAATACCAGAACCAGGAAACTGACATTGGTACATTGCTGTTAACTAGACAACAGGCCTAATTCAGCATTCACCATTTTTCTAACCTGTATTAATTTGTGTGTGCACATGTATAGCTCTAGCAATTTTTTCCCATGTCAGGATTTGTGAAACAATCAATATAATTATGACACAAAAATAGTCCATCACTGCAAAATAACTCTTTTTGGCTACCTTTTTGTTCTCACTCAGTCATCCTGTACATATTTCGTTAGAGTTGTATCTATTTCATTTTCTTTGGAGTGGCTGTACATGATACTGTGTGTTTAATTTTGGTTTTCACATGTTCATTGTTAGTATATAGAACTGCAATTAATTTTTAATCAAATTTTTTATTTTGCGATAATTGTAGATTTATATATGGTTGTGAGAAAAAAAATACAGAGCGATCCAATGTATTTTTTACCCAGTTTCCCACAGTGGCAGCATCTTTCAAAACTATAGTATAATATCAAAATCAGGATATTGACATAATCTATCTAGTTTGTTCAGATTTCCCCAATTTACTTATTCTTGTGTGTGTGTCTGTGTTTAGTTATATGCGATTTTTATCACATGGGTAAGTTCATGCATCCACCACCACAGTCAAAATACAGAAGAGTTCCATCACTATAAGGATCCCTCTTGTTGCCTTTTTATGACCACACCTATTTCCATCCCGTTCTCCTTCCTTAATGCCTGGCAACCACTGATCTGTTGTCTATTTCTCTAATTTTGTCTTTTCAAGAATGTTATAGAAATGGAATCATTCAGTCTGTATCCTGTTTGCATTGGCTTTTTTTTTCCACTCAGAATTATTCTCTGGAGAGTCATCCAAGTGGTTGGGAATGTCAAGTATTAATAGTTCATTTCTTTTCACTGCTGAGTAGTACTCCTTAATATGGTTGTACCATAGTTTGTGTACCATTCACCCATGAAGGATATCAGGATTGTTTTTACTTTTTGGCTATTGGGGATGAAGGATATCAGGATTGTTTTTACTTTTTGGCTATTGGGGATTAAACTAATTAAACTATTAGTTTATAGGTTATGGTATGGACAAAAAAAAAATTCTATTTATCTGGGATAAATGCCTAAGAGTACTATTGCTGGGTTGTATGGTAATTGCATATTTTGTTTTTTTAAGACTCTGACAAACTCTTTTCCAGAGTGGCTGTAACATTTTACATTCCCATCAGCAATTTATGAATATATCTAGTTTCTCTGCATCCTCATCATCATTTGGTGTTATCACTATTTTTTTTTTTTTATTTTAGCCATTATGATGGGTATCTAGTGATATCTCATTGTGGTTTTAATTTGTATTTCCCTAATGGTAATGAGAGGGAAAATCTTTTTTATGTGCTTATTTTCTATCTATATATCCTCTTCAGTGAAATGCCTTTTATCATTTTCTAATTGAACTGCTTTGTATTATTAAGTTTTGTGAGTCTTTATATATTCTAGATATGAACCTTTTGTCAGATATGTGGTTTGCAAATATTTTACTCCCAGTCTTTTCATTCTGTTAACAAGGGCTTTCTCAGAGCATAAGTTTTTAATTTTGATGAAGCTCAATTTATGGATCATGGTTTTGGTATCATACATAAGCTCTTTTTACCAAGCCTTAGATTTTTTTCCTATGTTTTCTTTTAAAAATTTTAAATGTTAATTTCACATTGAAGTGTGTGGTCTATTTTGAGTTAATTTTTCTGTAATGTTGGAGGTTTAAGTCCAGGTTCAATTTTTGACTATGAATGTCCAATTGCTAGAGCACAATTTGTTAAAAAGGCTATCCTTCCTCCATTGAATTTCTTCTTCATCTTTGTCATACTTGAACATATTTCCGTGAGTCTATTTTGTTGCATTGACCTATAATACAACTCTCTAATGATTACTGTAGCTATGTAGTATGTTTTCATATTGGGTAGAGTGATTCCTCCCACTTTTTGTTTTTTAACATTTTTTTTTTTTAGCTACTTCAGAATAAGTTTGTCTATGGGTACAAAATCCTTGCTAGAAATAGTGGAAACTTACAGACCACTTTGGGGTGTCATTTCTATGTTTAGTTTTCCAATATATTAAGATAGTATATCTCTTTAGTTATATATTTAGATCATTGATTTCTTTCATCAAAATTTGTATAAATTTTTGCATTCAAACCCTGTACATGTTTACTAAATGTATTCCTAAGTATTCATTTTGTTTTTCTAAATTAATTTTTTTATGGTGACACTGGTTAACAAAATCCAATAAGTTTCAGCTGTTCACTTTAACAGTAAGGCGTATTTACACTGTGTGTTTACCTCCCACAGTTAGATTTCTTTCTGTCACCACATATTTGACCCCCTTTACCCTATCTACCTCATTTTCTTTAAAGCAATTATAAGTCATACTGTGTTTTTAATTTGAGTTTGTGTGCTTGTTACTATGTAGAAGTTATATAAATTAATTAGAAGTGTGTTATTTTCCACACATTTGGAGATTTTCTTGTTATCTTTCTATTATTAATTTCTAGTTTGATCCCATTGTGGTCAGAAATCGAACTCTGTATGCTTTCAATTCTTTTATATATTTTTAGATTTGTTTTATGACTTCAAGAAGAGCATTCCTCTGGAGTGATTCCAGAGGAAGGTGATGTGGGTAATGAAAGAACTGAATCCACACCTTGTGATGAATGATTGAAATGTTTGTAGTTTAAAAAGCAAATACTTATAAAAGAGATACAAAATCTCCTCCAAATACTTGAAGGTCTGCTGTGCTTGAGAGGGATTAAACTACTATGGTATAATTCCATGTTTTAGAATT